GAGTGAGTGGGTGAGTGAGTGGGTGAGTGAGTGGTGAGTGAGTGAGTGGGTGAGTGAGTGAGTGGGTGAGTGAGTGGGTGAGTGAGTGGGTGAGTGGGTGAGTGGGTGGGTGAGTGGGTGAGTGGGTGAGTGGGTGGGTGAGTGGGTGAGTGAGTGGGTGAGTGAGTGGGTGAGTGAGTGGGTGAGTGAGTGAGTGGGTGAGTGAGTGAGTGAGTGGGTGAGTGAGTGGGTGAGTGGGTGAGTGAGTGAGTGGGTGAGTGAGTGGGTGAGTGAGTGAGTGAGTGGGTGAGTGAGTGGGTGAGTGAGTGGGTGAGTGGGTGAGTGGGTGGGTGAGTGGGTGAGTGAGTGGGTGAGTGAGTGGGTGAGTGAGTGAGTGGGTGAGTGAGTGGGTGAGTGAGTGAGTGAGTGAGTGGGTGAGTGAGTGGGTGAGTGGGTGAGTGAGTGAGTGGGTGAGTGGGTGAGTGAGTGGGTGAGTGGGTGAGTGAGTGGGTGAGTGAGTGGGTGAGTGGGTGAGTGAGTGGGTGAGTGTGTGAGTGAGTGGGTGAGTGGGTGAGTGAGTGGGTGAGTGGGTGAGTGAGTGGGTGAGTGAGTGGGGGAGTGGGTGAGTGAGTGGGTGAGTGAGTGAGTGAGTGGGTGAGTGAGTGGGTGAGTGTAGTGGTGTGAGTGGGTGAGTGAGTGGGTGAGTGAGTGAGTGGGTGAGTGAGTGGGTGAGTGTGAGGGTGAGTGAGTGGGTGAGTGAGTGAGTGTGAGTGAGTGGGTGAGTGGGTGAGTGAGTGGGTGAGTGGGTGAGTGAGTGGGTGAGTGAGTGGGTGAGTGAGTGGGTGAGTGAGTGGGTGAGTGAGTGAGTGGGTGAGTGAGTGAGTGGGTGAGTGAGTGAGTGGGTGGGTGAGTGAGTGGGTGAGTGAGTGAGTGAGTGGGTGAGTGAGTGGGTGAGTGAGTGGGTGAGTGGGTGAGTGAGTGGGTGAGTGAGTGGGTGAGTGAGTGGGTGAGTGAGTGGGTGAGTGAGTGAGTGGGTGAGTGAGTGAGTGGGTGAGTGAGTGAGTGGGTGAGTGAGTGAGTGGGTGAGTGAGTGGGTGAGTGAGTGAGTGAGTGGGTGAGTGAGTGGGTGAGTGAGTGGGTGAGTGAGTGAGTGGGTGAGTGAGTGAGTGGGTGAGTGAGTGGGTGAGTGAGTGAGTGGGTGAGTGAGTGGGTGAGTGAGTGGGTGAGTGGGTGAGTGAGTGGGTGAGTGAGTGGGTGAGTGAGTGAGTGGGTGAGTGAGTGGGTGAGTGAGTGAGTGAGTGGGTGAGTGAGTGGGTGAGTGAGTGGGTGAGTGAGTGAGTGGGTGAGTGAGTGAGTGGGTGAGTGAGTGAGTAGGCGAGTGAGTGGGTGAGTGAGTGAGTGGGTGAGTGGGTGGGTGAGTGAGTGGGTGAGTGAGTGAGTGGGTGAGTGGGTGAGTGAGTGAGTGGGTGAGTGAGTGAGTGGGTGAGTGAGTGAGTGGGTAAGTGGGTGAGTGAGTGAGTGGGTGAGTGAGTGAGTGGGTGAGTGAGTGAGTAGGCGAGTGAGTGGGTGAGTGAGTGAGTGGGTGAGTGGGTGAGTGAGTGAGTGAGTGGGTGAGTGAGTGAGTGGGTGAGTGAGTGAGTGGGTGAGTGGGTGAGTGAGTGAGTGGGTGAGTGAGTGAGTGGGTGAGTGAGTGAGTGGGTGAGTGAGTGAGTGAGTAGGCGAGTGAGTGGGTGAGTGAGTGAGTGGGTGAGTGGGTGGGTGAGTGGGTGGGTGAGTTTGTGGGTGAGTGGGTGGGTGAGTGGGTGGGTGGGTGAGTGGGTGGGTGAGTGGTGAGTGAGTGGTGAGTGAGTGAGTGCGTGAGTGGGTGGGTGAGTGAGTGGGTTGAGTGGGTGAGTGGGTGGGTTAGTGGGTGAGTGAGTGGGTGGGTGGGTGAGTGAGTGGGTGGGTGAGTGGGTGGGTGGGTGAGTGATTGGGTGTGTGAGTGGGTGGGTGGGTGAGTGAGTGAGTGGGTGAGTGGGTGAGTGAGTGGGTGGGTGAGTGGATGGGTAAATGGATGAGTTGGTGAGTGGGTGAGTGATTGGGTGGCTAAGTGGGTGGGTGAGTGGGTGGGTAAATGGATGAGTTGGCGAGTGAGTGAGTGGGTGAATGGGTGGGTGAATTGATGGCTAAGTGGGTGAGTTTGAATGAGGGTGAGGAGTGAGTGGGTGCTAATTTCCGCTGTCAGCAGACAGAGAGCTGCAATTGTTGACGTGGTGCAGGCTACCCACTCCCTCTGTGTGTCACAGTGCCGGCATTCATAGCCTCTGCTGCTGCTACACGCTAGCTAACAGCACTTGCCACTACAGCCCTGCTAGAAGCTACCTGGGGGAGTTTTGTCTGTGTGTGGTGTGTGTAGTACACAGTCACTGCTGCTGCTACGCGCTAGCTAACAGCACTTGCCCCTACAGCCTTGCTAGAGGCTACCTGGGGGAGCTTTGTCTGTGTGTGGTGTGTGTAGTACACAGACACTGCTGCTGCTACTCGCTAGCTAACAGCACTTGCCCCTACAGCCTTGCTAGAGGCTACCCGGGGGACCTTTGTCTGTGTGTGGTGTGTGTAGTACATAGACACTGCTGATGCTACTCGCTGGCTAACAGCACTTGCCCCTACAGCCTTGCTAGAGGCTACCTGGGTTAGCTTTGTCTGTGTGTGGTGTGTGTAGTACACAGACACTGCTGCTGCTACTCGCTAGCTAACAGCACTTGCCCCTACAGCCCTGCTAGAGGCTACCTGGGGGAGCTTTGTCTGTGCGTGGTGTGTGTAGTACACAGACACTGCTGCTACTCGCTAGCTAACAGCACTTGCCCCTACAGCCCTGCTAGAGGCTACCTGGGGGACCTTTGTCTGTGCGTGGTGTGTGTAGTACACAGACACTGCTGCTACTCGCTAGCTAACAGCACTTGACCCTACAGCCCTGCTAGAGGCTACCTGGGGGAGCTTTGTCTGTGTGTGGTGTGTGTAGTACACAGACACTGCTGCTGCTACTCGCTAGCTAACAGCACTTGCCCCTACAGCCCTGCTAGAGGCTAGCTGGGGGAGCTTTGTCTGTGTGTGGTGTGTGTAGTACATAGACACTGCTGCTGCTACATGCTAGCTAACAGCACTTGCCCCTACAGCCCTGCTGGAGGCTACCTGGGGGAGCTTTGTCTGTCTGTGCTGTGTGTAGTACACAGACACTGCTGCTGCTACTCGCTAGCTAACAGCACTTGCCCCTACAGCCCTGCTAGAGGCTACCTGGGGGAGCTTTGTCTGTGTGTGGTGTGTGTAGTACACAGACACTGCTGCTGCTACTCGCTAGCTAACAGCACTTGCCCCTGCAGCCCTGCTAGAGGCTACCTGGGGGAGCTTTGTGTGTGGTGTGTGTAGTACACAGACACTGCTGCTGCTACACGCTAGCTAACAGCACTTGCCCCTACAGCCCTCTTAGCGGACATTCACACCAGTTGGTCACTGATTGTGAATGTCCACACAGTGGTGATCACGGCGATATCAGCCACTGATCTACACAACCCTGACGACCTTAACATCGCTTCATGTTCGACGGCTTGTGCACCAGATGATCTTATTTATTCAGCGATGTACTTACAAAAAAATCCGCAGACTACCTGCTGCTGGATCTCCTCGCTGTTTCAAAGAACAAATTTGACCTCAGGTCTTCGCTCATTTACCAGCTTCACATTCCCCTATTTCCGTACAGAAACTGGAGGAATGGCCTTTGCTATTGATGCCCCCAGGGTCTGGAATGCTATTGCCAATAAACTGCAACTTGAATCACTACCAATGAGATCTTCACTCAAAACTGCTCTAGAGGAGTTGTTACACCCCTAGCTGCCACTGCTAATTCAGTGGCCTAAAAAATATGGCTCTAGATTTTGGTGTTATAATTTATTTATGTAGTTTATTGTTAAAAATTCGGTCACAGTCCCTATGATCACTGTTACGTTGCATTTATGGCTTTTATTTTGGTGATTTCGAAAACGTTTTTTGTGGTTTTGGCCATGTTTTTGTTTATTGTAGTACGGAGTTAGACTGATGGCTTTAATCTTAGTTGTCTTGTGGTTGTTGTTGTTATGTTGACTTGCATCCCACTGGGATTTTTTGCACACAGCCGTTGGTGGTGTACGGTGCTGTTTCAGGAATATTTTTGATGTTTTTTTCCTGGATTTTCTGTTTGCACAGTCACTCACAAAGTAGTCACTTTAAGATGCTTTTCTTGGTCACGTTTCTTTGCTTGTTGAGGTTGCACCCGATTCAAGAGCCGAATGGCTCACAGGGCTATACCAAAATTAATTAAACTATGAACTATGACCTGGTGATACAAATTTATTTAGTACTAGCGCTAAGTGCCCGGCGTTGCCCGGGTCAAAAAACATATTTTAGATCTACTCTAAAAAAACCTTACATATACATTCACCACCAACACAATTATAAGAGGCTTGCACAAGTCCAAAAACTCATATAAAGTGTGGGGTTAATAGTTGATTTTTACGAATGACTAGAGGTTTATTATTCTTAGTTTTTTCGGTAAAGTCACGTTGAAGAGAAACAACAAAATAACAACATATATATAAAACAATAAAAAATTCTCACGACGTTTCGACCATAACTCAAACGGTCATCATCAGTTTGAGTTATGGTCGAAACGTCGTGAGAATTTTTATTGTTTTATATATATTTTGTTATTTTGTTGTTTCTCTTCAACGTGACTTTACCGAAAAAACTAAGAATATGAATTACTGCAGTCACGAAAGGTTTAAATCAAAATTTAGAGGTTTATTGTTTAATATATATTTTATTATTTTATTGTTTCCCTTCTACGTGACTTTACCGAAATGACTAGAGGTGTTTAAGGTTAACGATTTGTCCTTTTATCTGGCCGTATAGGTAAATGAAAAAAATACAATTACTTAACTACCCAAGTCATAAATAACATTTTAATATTTACGTTTAAAAAAGACTAGGGGCCCCCTTTACAACAACATCTGCCACAGGCCCCTCACTAGCTTCATCCGGTGCTGGTTGTGACCGCAAAGAGCTTCACAGACTATCGGATTCCTCCTCCTGTGTAGCTAAACAAATATTTAACTTGACGCGATTCTCAGGCTCACTTTGCCCGGGAGCCTCTCGCGTGCGTCCATCGAACGAATCGGAGGCCACGTGGTCGTGAGGACAGCCTGGGGCCTGGTGGTCACGTGGCACGAGGGCGGGGCCGTGTCCGTGTGGGCGTTGCCCGGCGACGCGGGGGAGGGGCCTGGAGGGGCGGGGCTCTGCGGGCTGTGCGGGAACGCGAACGGAGACGCCAGCGATGACCTCACCACGAGCTACGGTGAGGGTCACTCACTCACCTACTCACTCACCAACTCACTCACCTACACACTCACCTACTCACTCACCTACTCACCTACACACTCACCTACTCACCTACACACTCACCCACTCACCTACTCACTCACCTACTCACTCACCAACTCACTCACCTACTCACTCACCAACTCACTCACCTACTCACTCACCTACTCACTCACCTACTCACTCACCTACTCACCTACACACTCACCTACTCACCTACTCACTCACCTACACACTCACCAACTCACTCACCTACTCACTCACCTACTCACTCACCTACTCACTCACCTACTCACCTACACACTCACCTACTCACCTACTCACTCACCTACACACTCACCAACTCACTCACCTACTCACTCACTTACTCACCTACTCACCTACTCACTCACCTACTCACTCACCTACTCACTCACCTACTCACTCACTCACCTTACTCACTCAACTACTCACTCACCTACTCACCTACTCACCTACACACTCACTCACCTACTCACTCACCTACTCACTCACCTACTCACTCACCTACTCACTCACTCACCTACTCACTCATCTACTCACTCACCTACTCACCTACTCACCTACACACTCACTCACCTACTCACTCACCTACTCACTCACCTACTCACTCACCTACTCACCTACTCACCTACACACTCACCTACTCACCTACTCACTCACCTACTCACTCACCTACTCACTCACCTACTCACTCACCTACTCACCTACACACTCACCTACACACTCACCAACTCACTCACCTACTCACCTACTCAATCACCAACACACTCACATACTCACTCACCTACTCACCTACTCACCTACACACTCACCTACACACTCACCAACTCACTCACCTACTCACCTACACACTCACCAACACACTCACCCACTCACTCACTCACCTACCCACCTACACACTCACCAACACACTCACCCACTCACTCACTCACCTACTCACCTACACACTCACCTACTCACCTACTCACTCACCTACTCACTCACCTACTCACTCACCAACTCACTCACCTACTCACCTACACACTCACCTACTCACCTACACACTGACCTACTCACCTACTCACCTACACACTCACCAACACACTCACCTACTCACTCACCTACTCACCTACACACTCACCTACACACTCACCTACTCACTCACCTACTCACTCACCTACTCACCAACTCACTCACCTACTCACCAACACACTCACCAACACACTCACCAACACACTCACCTACTCACCTACTCACTCACCAACACACTCACCCACTCACTCACTCACCTACTCACCTACACACTCACCAACACACTCACCTACTCACTCACCTACTCACCTATACACTCACCTACTCACTCACTCACCTACTCACCTACTCACTCACCAACACACTCACCCACTCACTCACTCACCTACTCACCTACACACTCACCTACTCACTCACCAACTCACTCACCTACTCACCTACTCACCTACACACTCACCTACTCACTCACCAACTCACTCACCTACTCACCTACACACTCACCTACTCACTCACCTACTCACTCACCTACTCACTCACCTACTCACCTACACACTCACCTACTCACTCACCAACTCACTCACCTACTCACCTACACACTCACCTACTCACTCACCAACTCACTCACCAACTCACTCACCTACTCACCTACTCACCTACACACTCACCTACTCACCTACTCACTCACCTACTCACTCACCTACTCACCTACTCACTCACCTACACACTCACCTACTCACTCACCTACACACTCACCTACTCACCTACTCACTCACCTACTCACCTACTCACTCACCTACTCACCTACTCACTCACCTACTCACTCACCTACTCACTCACCTACTCACTCACCAATTCACTCACTCACTCACTCACCTACACACTCACCTACTCACTCACCTACTCACCTACTCACCTACACACTCACCTACTCACCTACTCATTCACCTACTCACTCACCAACTCACTCACCTACTCACCTACACACTCACCTACTCACCTACTCACTCACCTACTCACTCACCAACTCACTCACCTACACACTCACCTACTCACCTACACTCACCTACTCACCTACTCACTCACCTACTCACTCACCAACTCACTCACCTACTCACCTACTCACTCACCTACACACTCACCTACTCACTCACCTACACACTCACTCACTCACTCACCTACTCACCTACACACTCACTCACTCACCCACCCACTGACCCACCCACCCACTCACCCACTCACCCACCCACTTACCCACTCACTCACCAACTCACTCACTCACCCACTCACCCCCTCACTCAACCACCCACTCACCCACTCACTCACCCACCCACTCACCCACCCACTCACCCACTCACTCACCCACCCACTCACCCACTCACCCACCCACCCACTCACTCACTCACCCACCCACTCACTCACCCACCCACTCACTCACTCACCCACTCCCCCACTCACTCACTCACTCACTCACCCACTCACTCACCCACTCACTCACCCACTCACTCACCCACCCACTGACCCACTCAATCACCCACTCACTCACTCACCCACTCACCCACCCACTCACCCACTCACTCACTCACTCACCCACTCACTCACCCACCCACCCACCCACTCACCCACCCACCCACTCACCCACCCACCCACTCACCCACCCACTCACCCACCCACCCACCCACTCACCAACTCACTCACCTACTCACTCACCAACTCACTCACCTACTCACTCACCTACTCACTCACCTACTCACTCACCTACTCACCTACACACTCACCTACTCACCTACTCACTCACCTACACACTCACCAACTCACTCACCTACTCACTCACCTACTCACTCACCTACTCACTCACCTACTCACTCACCTACTCACTCACCTACTCACCTACACACTCACCTACTCACCTACTCACTCACCTACACACTCACCAACTCACTCACCTACTCACTCACTTACTCACCTACTCACCTACTCACTCACCTACTCACTCACCTACTCACTCACTCACCTTACTCACTCAACTACTCACTCACCTACTCACCTACTCACCTACACACTCACTCACCTACTCACTCACCTACTCACTCACCTACTCACTCACCTACTCACTCACTCACCTACTCACTCATCTACTCACTCACCTACTCACCTACTCACCTACACACTCACTCACCTACTCACTCACCTACTCACTCACCTACTCACCTACACACTCACCTACTCACCTACTCACTCACCTACTCACTCACCTACTCACTCACCTACTCACTCACCTACTCACCTACACACTCACCTACACACTCACCAACTCACTCACCTACTCACCTACTCAATCACCAACACACTCACATACTCACTCACCTACTCACCTACTCACCTACACACTCACCTACACACTCACCAACTCACTCACCTACTCACCTACACACTCACCAACACACTCACCCACTCACTCACTCACCTACCCACCTACACACTCACCAACACACTCACCCACTCACTCACTCACCTACTCACCTACACACTCACCTACTCACCTACTCACTCACCTACTCACTCACCTACTCACTCACCAACTCACTCACCTACTCACCTACACACTCACCTACTCACCTACACACTGACCTACTCACCTACTCACCTACACACTCACCAACACACTCACCTACTCACTCACCTACTCACCTACACACTCACCTACACACTCACCTACTCACTCACCTACTCACTCACCTACTCACCAACTCACTCACCTACTCACCAACACACTCACCAACACACTCACCAACACACTCACCTACTCACCTACTCACTCACCAACACACTCACCCACTCACTCACTCACCTACTCACCTACACACTCACCAACACACTCACCTACTCACTCACCTACTCACCTACACACTCACCTACTCACTCACTCACCTACTCACCTACTCACTCACCAACACACTCACCCACTCACTCACTCACCTACTCACCTACTCACTCACCTACTCACTCACCAACTCACTCACCTACTCACCTACTCACCTACACACTCACCTACTCACTCACCAACTCACTCACCTACTCACCTACACACTCACCTACTCACTCACCTACTCACTCACCTACTCACTCACCTACTCACCTACACACTCACCTACTCACTCACCAACTCACTCACCTACTCACCTACACACTCACCTACTCACTCACCAACTCACTCACCAACTCACTCACCTACTCACCTACTCACCTACACACTCACCTACTCACCTACTCACTCACCTACTCACTCACCTACTCACCTACTCACTCACCTACACACTCACCTACTCACTCACCTACACACTCACCTACTCACCTACTCACTCACCTACTCACCTACTCACTCACCTACTCACCTACTCACTCACCTACTCACTCACCTACTCACTCACCTACTCACTCACCAATTCACTCACTCACTCACCTACACACTCACCTACTCACTCACCTACTCACCTACTCACCTACACACTCACCTACTCACCTACTCATTCACCTACTCACTCACCAACTCACTCACCTACTCACCTACACACTCACCTACTCACCTACTCACTCACCTACTCACTCACCAACTCACTCACCTACACACTCACCTACTCACCTACACTCACCTACTCACCTACTCACTCACCTACTCACTCACCAACTCACTCACCTACTCACCTACTCACTCACCTACACACTCACCTACTCACTCACCTACACACTCACTCACTCACTCACCTACTCACCTACACACTCACTCACTCACCTACTCACCAACACACTCACCTACTCACTCACCTACTCACTCACCTACTCACCTACTCACCTACACACTCACCTACTCACCTACTCATTCACCTACTCACTCACCTACTCACCTACACACTCACCTACTCACCTACTCATTCACCTACTCACTCACCCACTCACTCACCTACTCACCTACTCACTCACCTACACACTCACCTACTCACCTACTCATTCACCTACTCACTCACCCACTCACTCACCTACTCACCTACTCATTCACCTACTCACTCACCTACTCACTCACCTACTCACTCACCTACTCACCTACACACTCACCTACTCACCTACTCACTCACCTACTCACTCACCTACTCACCTACACACTCACCTACTCACCTACTCACTCACCTACTCACTCACCTACTCACTCACCAACACACTCACCCACTCACTCACTCACCTACTCACCTACACACTCACCAACACACTCACCTACTCACTCACCTACTCACCTACTCACTCACCTACTCACTCACCTACTCACCTACTCACTCACTCACTCACCTACTCACTCACCTACTCACCAACTCACTCACCTACTCACCAACACACTCACCAACACACTCACCCACTCACTCACCTACTCACTCACTCACCTACTCACCTACACACTCACCTACTCACTCACCTACTCACTCACTCACTCACCTACACACTCACCTACTCACTCACTCACTCACCTACACACTCACCTACACACTCACTCACTCACCTACTCACTCACCTACTCACCAACTCACTCACCTACTCACCTACACACTCACCTACACACTCACCTACACACTCACTCACCTACTCACTCACCAACTCACTCACCTACTCACCTACACACTCACCAACACACTCACCCACTCATTCACTCACCTACCCACCTACACACTCACCAACACACTCACCCACTCACTCACTCACCTACTCACCTACACACTCACCAACACACTCACCTACTCACTCACCTACTCACCTACTCATTCACCTACTCACTCACCTACTCACTCACTCACCCACTCACCCACTCACTCACCCACTCACTCATCCACTCAATCGCCTACTCACTCACCCACTCACTCACCCACTCACTCACTCACCCACTCACTCACCCACCCACTCACTCACTCACCCACTCACCCACTCACTCACCAACTCACTCAACTACTCACCAACACACTCACCAACACACTCACCAACACACTCACCCACTCACTCACCTACTCACTCACTCACCTACTCACCTACACACTCACTCATCTACTCACCAACACACTCACCCACTCACTCACTCACCTACTCACCTACACACTCACCAACACACTCACCAACACACTCACCCACTCACTCACTCACCTACTCACCAACAGACTCACCAACACACTCACCCACTCACTCACTCACCTACTCACCTACTCACTCACTTACTCACCAACACACTCACCAACACACTCACCTACACACTCACCTACTCACTCACCTACTCACCTACTCACCTACACACTCACCTACTCACCTACTCACTCATTCACCTACTCACCTACACACTCACCTACACACTCACCTACTCACTCACCAACACACTCACCCACTCACTCACTCACCTACTCACCTACACACTCACCAACACACTCACCAACACACTCACCCACTCACTCACTCACCTACTCACCTACTCACTCACCTACTCACCAACACACTCACCTACTCACTCATTCACCTACTCACCTACACACTCACCTACACACTCACCTACTCACTCACCAACACACTCACCCACTCACTCACCTACTCACCTACTCACTCACCTACTCACCTACTCACTCACCTACACATTCACCTACACACTCACCTACTCACTCACCTACACACTCACCTACTCACCTACTCACTCACCTACTCACTCACCTACTCACCAACTCACTCACCTACTCACCTACTCACTCACCTACACATTCACCTACACACTCACCTACTCACTCACCTACACACTCACCTACTCACCTACTCACTCACCTACTCACTCACCTACTCACCAACTCACTCACCTACTCACCTACACACTCACCTACACACTCACCTACTCACTCACCTACTCACCTACTCACTCACCTACTCACTCACCTACACACTCACCAACACACTCACCTACACACTCACCTACTCACTCACCTACTCACCTATTCACTCACCTACACACTCACCTACACACTCACCTACTCACTCACCTACTCACCAACTCACTCACCTACTCACCTACTCACTCACCTACACATTCACCTACTCACTCACCTACTCACTCACCTACTCACCGACACACTCACCTACTCACCTACTCACTCACCTACGCACTCACCTACTCACCAACTCACTCACCTACTCACCAACACACTCACCAACACACTCACCAACGCACTCACCCACTCACTCACCTACTCACTCACTCACCTACTCACCTACACACTCACCTACTCACTCACCTACTCACTCACTCACTCACCTACACACTCACCCACTCACTAACTCACTCACCTACACACTCACCTACACACTCACCTACACACTCACTCACTCACCTACTCACTCACCTACTCACCAACTCACTCACCTACTCACTCACCTACACACTCACCTACACACTCACCTACACACTCACTCACCTACTCACTCACCTACACACTCACCTACTCACTCACCTACTCACTCACTCACCTACTCACTCACCTACTCACTCACCTACTCACTCACCTACTCACTCACACACTCACCTACACACTCACCTACTCACTCACCCACTCACTCACCCACTCACTCATTCACCTACTCACCTACACACTCACCTACTCACTCACCTACTCACTCACTCACCTACTCACTCACTCACCTACTCACCTACACACTCACCTACACACTCACCTACACACTCACCAACACACTCACCAACACACTCACTCACTCACCTACACACTCACCTACACACTCACCTACACACTCACCAACACACTCACCTACTCACTCACCAACACACTCACCTACTCACTCACCAACACACTCACCTACACACTCACTTACTCACCTACACACTCACCTACTCACTCACCTACTCACTCACCCACTCACTCACTCACCTACTCACTCACTCACCTACTCACTCACCTACTCACCTACTCACTCACCTACACACTCACTCACCCACTCACTCACTCACCTACTCACTCACTCACCTACTCATTCACCTACTCACCTACACACTCACCTACTCACTCACTCACCAACACACTCACCAACACACTCACCTACACACTCACCTACACACTCACCTACTCACTCAGCTACACACTCACCCACTCACTCACTTACCTACTCACCTACTCACTCACCTACACACTCACCTACTCACTCACCTACTCACCAACACACTCACCTACACACTCACCTACACACTCACCTACTCACTCACCTACACACTCACCTACTCACCTACACACTCACCTACACACTCACCTACACACTCACCAACACACTCACCTACACACTCACTCACCTACTCACCTACTCACTCACCTATTCACCAACTCACTCACCTACTCACCTACACACTCACCAACACACTCACCAACACACTCACCTACTCACTCACCTACTCACCTACTCACTCACCTACACACTACCTCACCTACTCACTCAACTACTCACTCACTCACTCACCTACTCACTCACCTACTCACTCACCTACTCACCTACTCAATCACCTACTCACCTACTCACTCACCTACTCACTCACCCACTCACCTACTCACCTACTCACTCACCTACTGCTGCTGATGATGATGCTGCTGCTGCTTATGATGATGATGCTGATGTTGTAGGCGTGCTGGCTGATGATGATGCTGCTGATGCTGCTGATGCTGATGTTGTAGGCGTGCTGGCTGATGATGATGCTGATGATGCTGATGATGATGCTGATGATGCTGCTGATGATGCTGATGATGCTGATGATGATAATGCTGATGATGCTGCTGATGATGATTATGATGCTGCTGATGATGTTGTAGGCGTGCTGGCTGATGATGATGCTGATGATGCTGCTGCTGATGATGCTGCTGATGATGATGTTGTAGGCGTGCTGGCTGATGATGATGCTGATGATGCTGATGATGATGATGCTGATGATGATGCTGATGATGCTGCTGATGATGATTATGATGCTGATGATGATGTTGTATGCGTGCTGGCTGATGATTATGCTGATGATGCTGCTGATGATGCTGCTGATGATGATGTTGTAGGCGTGCTGGCTGATGATGATGCTGATGATGATGATGCTGATGATGATGTTGTAGGCGTGCTGGCTGATGATGATGCTGATGATGCTGCTGATGATGCTGATGATGAAGATGTTGTAGGCGTGCTGGCTGATGATGATGCTGATGATAATGATGTTGATGATGATGATGTAGGCGTGCTGGCTGATGATGATGCTGATGATGCTGATGATGATGCTGATGATGCTGCTGATGATGTTGATGATGCTGATGATGATGTTGTTGATGATGATACTGATGATGCTGATGATGATGATGATGCTGCTGATGATGATGATGCTGATGATGTTGTTGATGATGATACTGATGATGCTGATGATGATGCTGATGATGATGATGTTGTAGGCGTGCTGGCTGATGATGCTGCCGAGTTGGCGTTCAGCTGGAGATCCGGGGGGGCTCTGGGGGGGCCGCCCCTCCCCGCGTGCCCCCCACGAATATTAAACCCCCCACACCCATGTGTAGGGGTCCCCGTGGAGGTGAGAACGCGAATTCATTCACTCACTGTTACACTCACTGTTACACTCACTGTTACACTCACTCACTGTTACACTCACTGTTACACTCACTGTTACACTCACTGTTACACTCACTCACTCACTGTTACACTCACTGTTACACTCACTGTTACACTCACTCACTCACTCACTGTTACACTCACTGTTACACTCACTCACTGTTACACTCACTGTTACACTCACTCACTGTTACACTCACTGTTACACTCACTGTTACACTCACTCACTGTTACACTCACTGTTACACTCACTCACTCACTGTTACACTCACTCACTGTTACACTCACTGTTACACTCACTGTTACACTCACTGTTACACTCACTCACTCACTGTTACACTCACTGTTACACTCACTGTTACACTCACTCACTCACTCACTGTTACACTCACTGTTACACTCACTCACTGTTACACTCACTGTTACACTCACTCACTGTTACACTCACTGTTACACTCACTGTTACATTCACTCACTGTTACACTCACTGTTACACTCACTCACTCACTGTTACACTCACTGTTACACTCACTGTTACACTCACTCACTCACTGTTACACTCACTGTTACACTCACTCACTCACTGTTACACTCACTGTTACACTCACTCACTGTTACACTCACTGTTACACTCACTCACTGTTACACTCACTGTTACACTCACTGTTACATTCACTCACTGTTACACTCACTCACTCACTGTTACACTCACTGTTACACTCACTGTTACACTCACTGTTACACTCACTCACTCACTGTTACACTCACTGTTACACTCACTGTTACACTCACTCACTGTTACACTCACTGTTACACTCACTGTTACACTCACTCACTGTTACACTGACTGTTACACTCACTCACTGTTACACTCACTGTTACACTCACTGTTACACTCACTCACTGTTACACTCACTGTTACACTCACTCACTGTTACACTCACTGTTACACTCACTGTTACACTCATTCACTGTTACACTCACTGTTACACTCACTCACTGTTACACTCACTGTTACACTCACTGTTACACTCACTCACTGTTACACTCACTGTTACACTCACTGTTACACTCACTCACTGTTACACTCACAGTTACACTCACTCACTGTTACACTCACTGTTACACACACTGTTACACTCACTGTTACACTCACTGTTACACTCACTCACTGTTACACTCACTGTTACACTCACTCACTGTTACACTCACTGTTACACTCACTCACTGTTACACTCACTGTTACACTCACTGTTACACTCACTCACTGTTACACTCACTGTTACACTCACTCACTGTTACACTCACTGTTACACTCACAGTTACACTCACTCACTGTTACACTCACTGTTACACACACTGTTACACTCACTGTTACACTCACTGTTACACTCACTCACTGTTACACTCACTGTTACACTCACTCACTGTTACACTCACTGTTACACTCACTGTTACACTCACTCACTCACTGTTACACTCACTGTTACACTCACTGTTACACTCACTCACTGTTACACTTACTGTTACACTCACTGTTACACTCACTGTTACACTCACTCACTGTTACACTCACTGTTACACTCACTCACTGTTACACTCACTGTTACACTCACTGTTACACTCACTCACTGTTACACTCACTGTTACACTCACTCACTGTTACACTCACTGTTACACTCACAGTTACACTCACTCACTGTTACACTCACTGTTACACACACTGTTACACTCACTGTTACACTCACTGTTACACTCACTCACTGTTACACTCACTCACTGTTACACTCACTGTTACACTCACTGTTACACTCACTGTTACACTCACTCACTCACTGTTACACTCACTGTTACACTCACTGTTACACTCACTCACTGTTACACTTACTGTTACACTCACTGTTACACTCACTGTTACACTCACTCACTGTTACACTCACTGTTACACTCACTGTTACACTCACTCACTGTTACACTCACTGTTACACTCACTGTTACACTCACTCACTGTTACACTCACTGTTACACTCACTGTTACACTCACTCACTGTTACACTCACTGTTACACTCACTCACTGTTACACTCACTCACTGTTACACTCACTGTTACACTCACTCACTGTTACACTCACTGTTACACTCACTCACTGTTACACTCACTGTTACACTCACTCACTGTTACACACACTCACTCACTCAATCACTGTTACACTCACTGTTACACTCACTCACTGTTACACTCACTGTTACACTCACTCACTGTTACACTCACTGTTACACTCACTGTTAACTCACTGTTACACTCACTGTTACACTCACTCACTGTTACACTCACTGTTACACTCACTCACTGTTACACTCACTGTTACACTCACTGTTACACTCACTCACTGTTACACTCACTGTTACACTCACTGTTACACTCACTCACTGTTACACTCACTGTTACACTCACTGTTACACTCACTCACTGTTACACTCACTCAGTGTTACACTCACTGTTACACTCACTGTTACACTCACTCACTGTTACACACACTCACTCACTCACTGTTACACTCACTGTTACACTCACTGTTACACTCACTCACTGTTACACTCACTGTTACACTCACTGTTACACTCACTCACTGTTACACTCACTGTTACACTCACTGTTACACTCACTCACTGTTACACTCACTGTTACACTCACTGTTACACTCACTCACTGTTACACTCACTGTTACACTCACTCACTGTTACACTCACTGTTACACTCACTCACTGTTACACTCACTGTTAAACTCACTGTTACACTCACTCACTGTTACACTCACTGTTACACTCACTCACTGTTACACTCACTGTTACACTCACTCACTGTTACACTCACTGTTACACTCACTGTTACACTCACTCACTGTTACACTCACTGTTACACTCGCTGTTACACTCACTGTTACACTCACTCACTGTTACACTCACTGTTACACTCACTGTTACACTCACTCACTGTTACACTCACTGTTACACTCACTCACTGTTACACTCACTGTTACACTCACTCACTGTTACACTCACTGTTACACTCACTCACTGTTACACTCACTGTTACACTCACTGTTACACTCACTCACTGTTACACTCACTGTTACACTCACTGTTACACTCACTCACTGTTACACTCACTCAATCACTCACTATTACACTCACTGTTACACTCACTCACTGTTACACTCACTCAATCACTCACTGTTACACTCACTGTTACACTCACTGTTACACACACTCACTCACTGTTACACTCACTGTTACACTCACTGTTACACTCACTCACTGTTACACTCACTCACTGTTACACTCACTGTTACACTCACTGTTACACTCACTCACTGTTACACTCACTGTTACACTCACTGTTACACTCACTCACTGTTACACTCACTCAATCACTCACTGTTACACTCACTGTTACACTCACTCACTGTTACACTCACTCAATCACTCACTGTTACACTCACTGTTACACTCACTGTTACACACACTCACTCACTGTTACACTCACTGTTACACTCACTCACTGTTACACTCACTGTTACACTCACTGTTACATTCACTGTTACACTCACTCACTGTTACACTCACTCACTGTTACACACACTCACTGTTACGCTCACTGTTACACTCACTGTTACACTCACTCACTGTTACACTCACTGTTACACTCACTCACTGTTACACTCACTCACTGTTACACTCACTGTTACACTCACTGTTACACTCACTCACTGTTACACTCACTCACTGTTACACTCACTCACTGTTACACTCACTGTTACACTCACTCACTGTTACACACACTCACTGTTACACTCACTGTTACACTCACTCACTGTTACACTCACTGTTACACTCACTCACTGTTACACTCACTGTTACACTCACTCACTGTTACACTCACTGTTACACTCACACACTGTTACACACACTCACTCACTCACCACTCACTCACTCACTGTTACACTCACTGTTACACTCACTGTTAAACTCACTGTTACACTCACTCACTGTTACACTCACTGTTACACTCACTGTTACACTCACTCACTGTTACACTCACTGTTACACTCACTGTTACACTCACTCACTGTTACACTCAATGTTACACTCACTGTTACATTCGCTGTTACACTCACTGTTATACTCACTCACTGTTACACTCACTGTTACACTCACTCACTGTTACACTCACTGTTACACTCACTGTTACACTCACTCACTGTTACACTCACTGTTACACTCACTGTTACACTCACTCACTGTTACACTCACTGTTACACTCACTCACTGTTACACTCACTGTTACACTCACTGTTACACTCGCTGTTACACTCACTGTTACACTCACTGTTACACTCACTCACTGTTACACTCACTGTTACACTCACTCACTGTTACACTCACTGTTACACTCACTCACTGTTACACTCACTCACTGTTACTCTCACTGTTACACTCACTGTTACACTCACTCACTGTTACACTCACTGTTACACTCACTCACTGTTACACTCACTGTTACACTCACTGTTACACTCACTCACTGTTACACTCACTGTTACACTCACTGTTACACTCACTCACAGTTACACTCACTCAATCACTCACTGTTACACTCACTGTTACACTCACTCACTGTTACACTCACTCAATCACTCACTGTTACACTCACTGTTACACTCACTGTTACACACACTCACTCACTCACTGTTACACTCACTGTTACACTCACTGTTACACTCACTCACTGTTACACTCACTCACTGTTACACTCACTGTTACACTCACTGTTACACTCACTCACTGTTACACTCACTCAATCACTCACTGTTACACTCACTGTTACACTCACTCACTGTTACACTCACTCAATCACTCACTGTTACACTCACTGTTACACTCACTGTTACACACACTCACTCACTGTTACACTCACTGTTACACTCACTGTTACACTCACTCACTGTTACACACACTGTTACACTCACTCACTGTTACACTCACTGTTACACTCACTGTTACACTCACTCACTGTTACACTCACTGTTACACTCACTCACTGTTACACTCACTGTTGCACTCACTGTTACACTCACTGTTACACACACTCACTCACCACTCACTCACTGTTACACTCACTGTTACACTCACTGTTAAACTCACTGTTACACTCACTCACTGTTACACTCACTGTTACACTCACTCACTGTTACACTCACTGTTACACTCACTGTTACACTCACTCACTGTTACACTCACTGTTACACTCACTCACTGTTACACTCAATGTTACACTCACTGTTACATTCGCTGTTACACTCACTGTTATACTCACTCACTGTTACACTCACTGTTACACTCACTCACTGTTACACTCACTGTTACACTCACTGTTACACTCACTCACTGTTACACTCACTGTTACACTCACTCACTGTTACACTCATTGTTACACTCACTGTTACACTCACTCACTGTTACACTCACTGTTACACTCACTGTTACACTCGCTGTTACACTCACTGTTACACTCACTCACTGTTACACACACTGTTACACTCACTGTTACACTCACTCACTGTTACACTCACTGTTACACTCACTCACTGTTACACTCACTCACTGTTACTCTCACTGTTACACTCACTGTTACACTCACTCACTGTTACACTCACTGTTACACTCACTGTTACACTCACTCACTGTTACACTCACTGTTACACTCACTGTTACACTCACTCACTGTTACACTCACTGTTACACTCACTGTTACACTCACTCACAGTTACACTCACTCAATCACTCACTGTTACACTCACTGTTACACTCACTCACTGTTACACTCACTCAATCACTCACTGTTACACTCACTGTTACACTCACTGTTACACACACTCACTCACTGTTACACTCACTGTTACACTCACTGTTACACTCACTCACTGTTACACTCACTGTTACACTCACTGTTACACTCACTCACTGTTACACTCACTGTTACACTCACTCACTGTTACACTCACTCACTGTTACACTCACTCAATCACTCACTGTTACACTCACTGTTACACTCACTCACTGTTACACTCACTCAATCACTCACTGTTACACTCACTGTTACACTCACTGTTACACACACTCACTCACTGTTACACTCACTGTTACACTCACTGTTACACTCACTCACTGTTACACACACTGTTACACTCACTGTTACACTCACTCACTGTTACACTCACTGTTACACACACTGTTACACTCACTCACTGTTACACTCACTGTTACACTCACTCACTGTTACACACACTCACTGTTACACTCACTGTTACACTCACTGTTACACTCACTCACTGTGACACTCACTGTTCCACTCACTGTTACACTCACTCACTGTTACACTCACTGTTACACTCACTGGTACACTCACTCACTGTTACACTCACTGTTACACTCACTGTTACACTCACTCACTGTTACACTCACTCACTGTTACACTCACTGTTACACTCACTGTTACACTCACTCACCACTCACTCACTCACTGTTACACTCACTGTTACACTCACTGTTACACTCACTCACTGCTACACTCACTGTTACACTCACTCACTGTTACACTCAGTTACACTCACTGTTGCACTCACTGTTACACTCACTCACTGTTACACTCACTCACTGTTACATTCACTGTTACACTCACTGTTACACTCACTCACTGTTACACTCACTGTTACACTCACTCACTGTTACACTCACTGTTACACTCACTCACTGTTACACTCACTGTTACACTCACTCACTGTTACACTCACTGTTACACTCACTGTTACACTCACTCACTCACTGTTACACTCACTGTTACACTCACTCACACACTGTTACACTCACTGTTACACACACTGTTACACTCACTGTTACACTCACTCACTGTTACACTCACTGTTACACTCACTCACTGTTACACTCACTGTTACACTCACTGTTACACTCACTCACTGCTACACTCACTGTTACACTCACTCACTGTTACACTCAGTTACACTCACTGTTGCACTCACTGTTACACTCACTCACTGTTACACTCACTCACTGTTACATTCACTGTTACACTCACTGTTACACTCACTCACTGTTACACTCACTGTTACACTCACTGTTACACTCACTCACTGTTACACTCACTGTTACACTCACTCACTGTTACACTCACTGTTACACTCACTCACTGTTACACTCACTGTTACACTCACTCACTGTTACACTCACTGTTACACTCACTCACTCACTGTTACACTCACTGTTACACTCACTCACACACTGTTACACTCACTGTTACACTCACTGTTACACTCACTCACTGTTACACTCACTGTTACACTCACTCACTGTTACACTCACTGTTACACTCACTCACTCAATCACTCACTGTTACACTCACTGTTACACTCACTGTTACACTCACTCACTGTTACACTCACTCAATCACTCACTGTTACACTCACTGTTACACTCACTCACTGTTACACTCACTCACTCACCCACTGTTACACTCACTCACTCACTGTTACCCCCACTCACTCACACACTTACTGTTACACTCACTCACTCACCACTCACTCATTCACCACTCACTCACTCACCACTCACTCACTCACCACTCACTCACCCACTCACTCACGACTCACTCACTCACCTACTCACTCACCCACTCACTCACCCACTCACTAACCCACTCACTCACTCACCAACTCACTCACTCACTCACCCACTCCCTCACCCACTCACTCACCCACTCACTCACTCACCCACTCACTCACTCACACACTCACTCACTCACTGTTACACCCACTCACTCACACACTCACTCACTGTTACACCCACTTACTGTTACACCCACTCACTCACTCACCCACTCACCCACTCACTGTTACACCCACTCACTCACTCACCCACTCACCCACTCACTGTTACACCCACTCACTCACTCATTGTTACACCCACTCACTCACACACTTACTGTTACACTCACTCACTCACCACTCACTCATTCACCACTCACTCACTCACCACTCACTCACTCACTCACCCACTCACTCACCCACTCACCCACTCACTAACCCACTCACTCACTCACTCACCAACTCACCCCATCACTCACCCACTCACTCACCCACTCACCCACTCACTCACCCACTCACTCACTCACCAACTCACACACTCACTCACCCACTCACTCACTCACCCACTCACCCACTCACTCACTCACTCACCCACTCACCAACTCACACACTCACTCACTCACACACTCACTCACTCACACACTCTCTCACCCACTCACTCACTCATTCACCACTCACTCACTCACTCACCCACTCACTCACCCACTCATTCACCCACTCACTCACCCACTCACTCACTCACACACTCACTCACTCACCCACTCACTCACTCACACACTCTCTCACCCACTCACTCACTCACCCACTCACTTGCCCACTAAATCACTCAACCGCTCACCACCACTGATGATGATGGTTGTGGTGGTTGTGGTGGTTGTGATGGTGGTTGTGATGGTGGTGGTTGTGGTGGTGGTTGTGGTGATGTTGGTTGTGGTGGTTGTGGTGGTTGTGGTGGTTGTGGTGATGTTGGTTGTGGTGGTTGTGGTGGTTGTGGTGGTTGTGGTGTCTGCAGGCGCTCCGTGTGCGCTGCCTGCAAGCGCTACGCTCCCTGGGCCTCTCCCGGTGCCACAGCTCCACCCCCAGCGAGACTCACCTGGACAGCTGTACTCTCGACCTGTGCAGGTGGGCATGATGGTGGTGGTGGTGGTGGTTGTCCGGCAAAACAACCCCCTGCCTCCTCGCGGTGCCGGACGGGCAACTCTCTCGTGGACAATGCTGTGGGGGGAGGTCCAATTTTGATTGGCTCCTCCCCTCGTGGCGTCTGTGACCACCACAGGGGCTAAACGGGGGCTCTGGACGGGTTTGACGGGCTGGTAACCCCTCCACCTTCAATTAATTACCACTAAACCACGAGTTAAACTGAAATATGTAACTAATAAGCTTGTGCCGGAGGCCCCGGGGGGACAGGCGTCTATGACGTCTCCCGGCCAAACCCCAATTGGCGGCGCCAGGAGATTGAATCTCAACCCTCGGGGCTCCTCCAGAAACAACGAAAAGCCACTACGGGTGGCCACGTGGAATGTTCGAACGCTCACTGCGAAGGAGAGGCTGCCACTCCTCTGTCGGGAGCTGGACCAGTACCGCCTGAATCTCTGTGGCATTCAGGAGGTCCGGTGGACCGGTTCTGGCTCCTGCCACCATGAGGGGTGGTCAGTCCTCTACTCGGGGCAGCAGACTGCCAAACAACAGGGTGTGGCTCTTCTTTTGAACAAAAGAATGAAAGGGGCGTGGGAGCATGGCGGTGAGGTGTGGGAAGCTGTAAGCCCCTGGCTACTTTGGGCTCACCTTCCCATCAACCGGAGGCGAGGAATGGTGGTCGTGGTTACTTATGCCCCCACCGAAGACGAACATCTGTGGAGGGATGCAGGCAAAGCCGATGAGTCAGATGCCTTCTATGACCTCCTGTCACAGGTGCTGGCTAAAGTGGCCCCTCGGGATAGAGTCATCTTGTTGGGTGACTTCAATGCCCGAGTTGGTCATGATCTGGAGTGATTGGAGGGCATGGGCCAGATCAGCTCAGCGGATGCGAGCCCATGTCCTTGACACCAGGACCTACTGTGGAGCTGATCTGCCCTCTGACCATCGACTAGTCATCTGTAAGATGCGCCTGCCATTCTTCCACTCCGGTGGTGGGTGTAGACCCAGGACCCCATTCCAACCTAAAGTGGCCTGGTCTCAGTTATCTGATGAAAGTAGCGAGAATTTCATCATCGCTTGCGGCTGGGATTGGCATCGTCCCCCACTCCTCCTGATGTCGAGGGTAAATGGGCGAGGTTTAGGACTGCGACTCATGCAGCTGCAATGGCTGCTTTGGGTACGCGGTCCAGACCTCCCCAGAGACCCTGGCTGACAGATGAGGTGTTCAGGATGGTTGAGAAAAAGCGACAAGCCCACTGTCATTGGCTACAGAATCCCACGTCAAAGAATGAGGAGGCTTACCGCAGCCTTCGCTCGGAGGTTCGGAGAGCCGTGAGGCGCTGCAAGGATGGGTGGTGGTCGCGGGTTGCTGAGGAGATGGAGTCTGCCTCAATGGCCCACGATCACAAATCTCTATTTAACTCCATCAAGAAAGTAACATGCAGCACCACACCTATTACCATCATTAGGGGAAGGAACAGTGATCCAATCTCTGACCCCAAGGAACAGGTTTGCAGATTTTCTGAGCATTTCTGTGAGGTCCTGGGGGAGGGGAAATCCCTCAGCCAGGAAAACATCGTGGCACAAAGTGAGGATGACCCTGCTGAGGCTGCGGTGCCTCATATATTGGAAGAAGTCACCCCCTGTGAGTGACTGGCTGAGGTACCATCTGTTGAGGAAGTACTGAAGGCGATCCGGAGTCTGAGACCAGGAAAGGCAGCGGGCAGAGATGATCTCCCAAGCGAAATGCTGAGGGAGGGTGACGTTTGTGCACAGACTGCCCTATATGACATCATAACAACAGTCTGGACCACTGGACGGGTTCCGCAGGATAGGAAGGATGCCCTGGTGGTCCCCCTCTTTAAGAAGGGGGACCGCACAGACTGTAACAACTACAGGGGCATCTCACTCCTCAGTGTGCGGAGAAAGGTGATGGTGTTAATGGTGATGGTGGTGATGATGGTGGTGGTGATGGTGGTGATGGTGGTGGTGATGGTGGTGATGGTGGTGATGGTGGTGGTGATGATGATGGTGGTGATGGTGGTGATGGTGGTGGTGATGGTGGTGATGATGGTGATGGTGGTGATAATGGTGATCAAGGATGGTGATGGTTATGGTGGTGATGGTAGTGATGGTGGTGATAGTGGTGATGGTGGTGATGGTGATGATGGTGATGGTGGTGATGATGGTGATGGTGGTGATGGTGGTGATGATGGTGGTGATGGTGATGGTGGTGATGGTGATGATGATGGAGATGATGATGGTGATGGTGGTCATGATGATGGTGATGGTGGTGATGATGGTGGTGATGGTGGTGATGGTGGTGGTGATGGTGGTGATGATGGTGATGGTGGTGGTGATGGTGGTGATGATGGTGATGGTGGTGATAATGGTGATCAAGGATGTTGATGGTTATGGTGGTGATGGTAGTGATGGTGGTGATAGTGGTGATGGTGGTGATGGTGATGGTGGTGATGGTGGTGATGATGGTGGTGATGGTGATGGTGGTGATGGTGTTGTTATTCTCCACAGACGTCACCATGATGGTGGTGATGGTGATGATGGTGATGATGGTGATGATGTTATCTGCCAGAGCGTGTTGGCCTACGTGAGGGCATGTGTTCAAGCAGGAGGCTCCATCCCAGACTGGCACCATCACCTGCCCCACTGCGGTACCACCACCAACATCACTAACATCACCATCACCACCATCACCATCACCACCATCACCACCATCACCAACATCACCAACATCACCATCACAATCACCATCACCACCATCACCAACATCACCACCATCACCATCACCACCATCACCACCATCATCACCATCACCACCATCACCACCATCACCACCATCACCATCACCACCATCACCACCATCACCACCACCACCATCACCACCACCATCACCACCACCATCACCACCACCACCACCACCATCATCACCATCACCACCATCACCACCATCACCACCATCACCACCACCACCATCACCATCACCACCATCACCACCATCACCACCATCACCACCACCACCATCACCACCACCATCACCACCACCATCACCACCACCACCACCACCATCATCACCATCATCACCATCACCACCATCACCAACATCACCATCACCACCATCACCACCATCACCACCATCACCATCACCATCACCACCATCACCACCAATC